CAAAAGCCCCCCCCCCCCCCCCCCCCCACCTGCAGTTGCTACTGCTGCCTCTGCCGTTGCCCTTGCTGTTGTTGCCGTTCGTACGGTGCGCCCCTGGCTAGCTCCCCCGACGACGACGTCGCACTCCACCTGCGACGTCGTGAACAGCTCGGGGTGCACCAGCTGGGCCACCGTGAGCAGATCCCACGCGAAGAACGGTCGCGTCTCGGTCTCCAGCAGATGCGCTCCCGCCAGGGCCCTGCGGAGAAATGTAGGTGGTTCACAGCGGTGAGCAGATCGTGTCGCCCGCCGCGTATTTTTCGGACGGGGCGAGAACGGAGGAAGGAGCGCGTTGATTGGGTGTGGTGTTGTTGAGTTGGTAAGGTTTTTTAGGAGGGTTGTGACGGCGTGTCTCCGGTGGGTTTCACACGGGCAGTTTGGTCACCGTACGCACGAAAAAGCGAACGTTTTCTGCTCGATTTTCTAGACGACCGCGGCGGTGTTTGTCGTCTCAAAACATGGCGGGTCGAGCGAGCGTTTGCAGTCTGTGTCCGGTTGTATTCTCGGGCAGCAAGCCCTTTCTGCAAGGTGTGTGTGAGGGAGAGAGACAGAGAGACAGAGACACGGAGAGATAGAGATAAAACAGAAAAATGAGAGACAGAGACCTACAGATTGTACAACGAGCGGGAGGAAGAAATCGAAGAGGGAAAGAGACCAAGTAAAACGACCTACTACGTCAAGGTACACAATCGTCACCGAAACACCCCGTGAGCTTCTTACACACGGACCCCGCCTCGGGATTTCACAATTGCTTCGGAGTACATAGAACAAGAGCTTTTTGTGCCATGGGACTCGGAATATCCGTACCTCTGGGAACGGTTTGATACAGTAGTACGACGACACCAATCGTACAACTCCAGTAGGAGAACGCGACGGCTGAAACCGTCCGAAAAAAAAAGTGGTTGATGTTTGTGGAAACCCAGTAACAACGGTACCTACCTACCATGGTACCATCCGTGGTGACGCAAGATACCACCCCCCCCCAGTGACCACGTCTGAGAAATAAATAAAAAAATGGAAATGTTTTTTTTGTGGTTCTTCTGGGCTGTGACTTGTGACGTCACTCTATTGCTCGACCTAAGAGCATTTCATTCTTTGGGCGCACCGTACAAGACTCCGACCCGGGGTCGCCCTCTCACTCTAGCTTTCAAGAGACCACACGACGCACAATCCCGGACGTCTTGCCCCCGCCCCCCGCCCCCCCTCCCTCCCGCCCCGTATTTTCCAAGCTCATATGCTACAACAGGAGGCTTTTTTCACCAAGCCAATCAAACCTCGCCAAACTAGACATGGTGAGTGAAATCACCACTGTAACTAACTGTCGTCGAGTCCGAGTCGAGCGTTCTCAGGCGACTCTTCTGTAGAAGAGGGTTTGGTGGGGCGGTGGGCACTACGCCCTGCTTGCCTGGTCGCATAGCGTGTGTATGCCGGCGCGCCGTGTGACAAATGAAAACAAATCAAGGGGTAGTTGCGGTTGCGATACCCTACCCTCTCACCAAATGCTGCCCACAAGAGTCGACGACGCGCAGTGGTTCTGCCGACCTAGCCTGATGTTGGTGCCGGAACAACAAGAACAGCAATCATGACGGTAAAAAACATCCGGCGGGGGGACAAGGAACACGTTGTTGACGATCGACAAGAGGTAAAATGCTGTCTTCAAGAATGGACTCTGTATCATACTTGGCGTGTGTGGTATGCACCGCTCCGTTTTTTGTGCTCAGGGAAGACATGTATGTTGCTACGAACACGTAAACACGCCACACTATCGTTTTCGTTGTTGGCAAAACCAAGCATCTGCTTGATTTCTCCGGGTTTTCCGTGGCAACCAACAAGTAAGTCATCTTATCTCATCTCATCTCATCTCAACATCTCGTGTGTTCGGCCGAACAGAAACCCGGCGCGCTCGTCAACAACACGCCGACATGTTCGTTCCAGCGACTTGCTGTATCCGCGTGCGTTCGTCCCACGCACCATCATCCTCAGCAGCAGCAACAGCAGCCGCGGGCCCCCCCTTTTTGTACCTGAGAAGCGTCTCCTTCGTGATCGGCACCTCGTTCGTGGCGTCCAGCGGCGTCAATACCAGTTCTAGATCGGAGTCCCACACCTTCCCACCACGCGGGGGCGGGCACCGGGGGGAGGACATGAACAAACATGAACAAACACACGGGATAAGACGAGATTGTTGTGTGTACGTGAAAACAATTACTTCAAGTAGAGTTTGGTTTTCTTTTGCGAGACAAAACACGTGCGCTTCGCGGCAACTAACTGCACTGACTGTAATTAAGACCTTCGGGACGCTTTCCTCCTTCTTTGTTTTTAGCATACCGCAACCTAGAACGGCTGTTGCTGGTGGTAGGTTGGCTCCGCACAGGCATCATCAACCGACGCAAAGAGTGACTACACCCCCGGCTACAGCAATGCAACCGTGCGGCAGGGTGCCAAGAACACACGGTACACGGGAAAAAAGCGAGATATGTTTATGTTTACAACGCCCGTGCCGCCACCGCGCACATGCAATTGCGCCGCCACGATTGGCTAAGAAACAAACGCCGACATTCACCTGAGAACCAAGCACTACAGCAGTACTACCTGCGCAAGAAACGACAACAGCAGCAGCAGTGATAAAATTGTTGGGTCGCCACGTCCTTGTCCGCGGTCGCCGCTCGCGACGATCTCTACCTGACCCACAGGGCTGTTGCCTCTCTCAACTCCAGGGTTCGCTCGGATCGGTCGCAGCAGAAGAATGATTCCTCCGAGGTGATTGATTACTGCATGTTCTCATTTCTCCATCTTCTGACGTGCAAAAAAACGGTTTCGGCGGGTGCGTGCTCGGCCCGAACGTACTCACCGAGAAAGCTTCGTTCCTTGCGGCATTTTCGCTCTTGCGAGGTACGCTACAGCGCGGTGGTGATCCCCTACAGCGCCACCAACCAAACACCTCTCTGCCATGCATGCAGAAACTACCACCGCTCGCAAAACTGTTTGCCACCCCCGTTCGGAGGCGTTCTTGGGGCGGTGCTTGCTTGCTCGCTTGGTTGCACTCACTCACCCGCTTTGCCGCCGGCGGGTCCCAGAAAATGTTCCATTCCGCCGATCCGTCGAAGCCTTCCACGTCGTCCGCGAATACGTTGCCGGGCACGTCGATCGCACCCCCTGTACGGCAGCGGAGGCGGCGGCGGCGGCGGCAGGAGCAGCAGCCACGGCAAGACCACATCACATCGGGGGTCAAAGGGGAATCGTAATAAGGGCTCAGGGAAGGAAGGAAGAAACGAGCACAGAGCCAAGTCATGTCGAAAGCACACGAACAAACCCGAAAAGGAGTTGTTGTTGGTTGTGGGCATCACCGCAGCTATGTATCTATCTATGCCTAGCGTCGGTCTCAACACCCAGTGACGTGACCCCCTTGCCACAAACGCGAAGAAAAATGGGGGAAGGCGTGCGTTCGTTGCTTCGGGCAACCGTGGTTGACTATGGCACGCAACAGCACACGTTCCCACTTGCGGGCACGTTAAAGTACACCACAACTCTACATCACCCATATGTCCGGGCAAGCAAGCGCGTGGCCGGATCTACAACCGCGGTGGGTCCCTGGAAAAAACCGAAACCGAAGAAAACGCCGTACAGCAGTACACACGTAAACACGCGCCTATCGGTGGAAACCCGGGGTTCGACAAACACGCACACATATGTACGTTGTGCCAGTCAAACGTAGACGACGACGTCGACTAACGCAGAGGTTCGGTTTGTAACCGTCCACGGGGACACGCGCTGCTGGCGTGCTTCCAAAGGTCAGCCGGAGTGACCCGGACGACGAAAAGGCGCGCGTGCATCCCGCACAAAACACAACACAACCAACCACCAGCACCCGAATTCATCTATCCCTGTGATGATGATGATGATGATGATGATGCCTGTATCTATCTAGATTCAAAACTTTGACCTTGACACGAGGGGAAAGAGCGAGACCCACCCATGATCAAAACCTTGTCGATCTTGCGCGATGCCTCCGGAAAGTTGTCCAGCACCCAGGCCAGGTTGGTCAGGGGGCCCGTGGCGACGACCGTCACCGGCGACTCGGAGGCGAGCAGGGTCTGCGCCAGCAGCAGCTGGCCTGTCGTGTGTTTGTTCATTGCGGCGCACGCGGTACGCGCGGAACAAAAACAGCTGGTCAGCATCTACCGCTACTAGAGCCCTGTTCCGTCCACCGCCCCCTTTCCCACGCAACGTTGCCGTCGCTCGCGGTACGGCGGTCCTGCCTATCTCAGCCGCAGGGCCCCTTACCCAGAGGGGAACGCAGTCGACCTTTATTGTGGCGCGCGTGATCGATCACTCTTCGGCCCCATGGACACTCTTCGGCGTGGACACGGCGGTGCTTGAAGGCCTTGTGTTCGTCTTTTGTGGCGGGGGCGAGGGGAGACAAGACACCCCAAAGGAGCGGCGCAACCCACGCGCCTAAGGTGTTGCAATGTAACACCACAGCAGTCCAATAGACACTGCGGCATACGCATAGGAACTATCCATCGCTGGTGAGGTCGTCGTTCAGTTCGTGTTTGGTGTTTTTACTGCAACGATATCAACCATTCCGACGCCTATTCAGCACCCCCTCCGTACGACGCACAGATCCGTCAAGATAACGAAAAACGGCTTCCAAAGTCACGGGCTACCGTAGTCGTACGGACCTGGGCACCTGGGTGCGATAGTTCTTAGAATCGCTTCTTGCCGTGGTTTCTTGTAGCACCTGGGTGTCACAACCCAGAGGGTGCGAACCTGCCGTCCCGGTGTGCCCCGACCCGCACAATCACGGTACTCTGCGCCTCCCCCTTCTGCCGGGGGTCCCCGCGGACTAGGTTGATGTGTGTGTCAGCTGGCAAGAGTGGTCGATGCTAAACTAAAAGAAGCAAAGTACACAGACGCGTGGTAGGATTAGGGGTAAGGCTCATGGTTTGGGTTCGGGTTCGGCAGGCATCACACAACACACGCACCTGAAATCCCATCCTCTCCCTTCTCTAGCCGGAGGGCCTCTTCCTCGGTCTCGAAGCCGTTCAGCTGCGGCAGCAGGTTCAGCTTGCAGGCATCGTGCCGCCACGCTGGTGTACAATGTGCGCGTACAACAGCACGGGCGACGAAACCGTCCACCAGCAGACACAACAAAGCACGCAAGACACACGCACGCGTATGAGAGCAAGCGGGCAAGACCACGGACGCGCCAAACAAACACCACGAACAGCCAGTTGACAACAACACACAACAGCTAGCTAGCTTCAGTCGCCGAGGAGGAGGCCAACTAACAACATGCGAGAGACGAGGGTGGGGAAACGAAGAGCACACGGGACAGCCGGAAGGGGGTGTACTCATGGAAACGCATGCCGCAGTCGTTAGACCATTGACCTAGCATCTCTCTGCGGAGGGATATGGCGGGACTGTCGCGAAACGGGCGGGGGGGCAACATGCATATCCGCTTTCACCCGGGCGAGACGGGCTGGATGTGGCGGGGGGACTGTGGATGCTAAAAAAAGGGGACGTATGAAGCAATGTACGGCGACGAATCAGCGGTGCCTGCCGGATGGTGGGCATCACACCGGGGTGGGCTGAGATCCTTGGAGCGAAGCAAGTTGTCAGCCCGAATCACGCACACCTCCGAGGTTGCTCTCGTTAGAACCGTAGGCCTCGCATCCTTTTTTACCACTCCTACACGAGCCGCTGCCGACAACCGATTTCGATCATTCCGGCGATACACGCAAAAACAAGCACAAGCGGGGGGATTGTCGACGATCTTTTTGCCAAACAACGGGGGGGGGGCGACAAACACCGTGTTGGTTGCAGTGGTGAGGCGGTCTAAAGCACAAAACACGCCGGCCGCAAGGCACCACCCCGTCGTTGGTGGCACCGCAACTTGTTGCCACCGCCCGCCCGCCCTCCCGCCATTTTATCTCGCACCCTCCCCCCCCCCCCCCCGACTGGGGATCCAATCCCTACGGGAAGAGACGCAAGGAAGCTAAAATGGCAGTACCGCATGTACCGTATGAGAGAGGAGACGTTGCGGAGAATAGCTTGGGAGGCGAAGTGGGCAAACAAGAAGAGGGGTAGACAACTCACGGAGAGGGTCAAGGTTGTGGATGACGTATGGAAGGAGTTCGAAATCGACGAAGATGAAACGGTGGAAACGGAAGGTCTAGAGGGGTTCAAGTAGAAGATATATGTTGCTTTTGCCGACAGAGGATAACAGAATCTAACCAACCAAATAAACCAAGGATAAGGAGGGTCTAGATGTGCACGGAATATTGAAAGAAGGATTAGGGTCCAAGGAGTACCTACATCGACCGATAGATGCAGGGACAAAGCTGAAGGTCAAATTTAGGACCGGGGACATTGGTCTTCGAGAGCGTAGCCGAAAAACACTTACTGTAGGAAGGTAGAGGACGACGACGACAAGTTCAAATAAGAGTGCCGCTCCGAGTGCAAAGACCGGGTTCATGTCGTTGCGGAATGTAATGTCCGTTGTACAGGAAGGAGAGTGAAGTAAGTGTACATGACTGAGCTGGGAAAAGGATACAGGGAGATGATTAAGGCATGGAATAGCCAGGAGAAGACTGTAGCTGTACTGGGGCAAAGGAAGTGGGTTGAAAAGGCGGGAAGTGATATCGATAGGATAGATAGACTACGGAAGACATTTTTGAGCCACCTTTGGCAAAGTAGGAAGGAACTATTGGCCTCCGGTGATCAGGACACGTGGTCAATGGTCTAGGCTAGGCATGGAAGTACCCCGACTCTAGCGGCAGGTTCTTACCGTCTGGGAAAGTGTTTACGCCGTCCAGCGTGGACTCCGCAACGGGAATCCGCCCTTCGGCAGCACCGGAGGAGGAGGAGGAGGAGGCGTGCTTCTTGGAGAGAGTCCGCAGGATCTTTCGGGTGGCTGCCGCACCCACCTTCCACCACGAGTTCGCTGGCGTGACCGATACCCCCAGGAGATCAAACCTGTCCGGGTCATCGCCGGTTGACGTGTGCGCGAGGCGCCACCCGATTGGGGAATCGAGAGAGGGGGCGCGGTGGTGTCTGACGCCTTGTTTCCATGGCATAGATAGATAGCTGGATGATGTCCCAATGTATTGTAACAGTGTAGCCATTCTTTGTCTGACCCTAGATGTGTGCATGTATGCACGAAACCGGAACCCCCCTCCTCGGCCAGGCAATCACAGGCAGGAGATTTTGCATTTTTTTTCGGCTGGGGGCTTGCCTACAAAAGCAAGTCAACTCCCTCGACACAAGCACCAGGTACTAGGCATTCCGCCCGTGTTCCGTCGTCCGAAGCCCTTCTAGTAAACTATCTTTCTCGCACTGGTGTTCCGCCGCTTTTTTCTGTTTTCTTACAGTACATGTTGTGTTTTGGTTTAAACGGCGGGAGACAACAATCAGCACGCGTCATTTTGTACAACAGGTGCGTAAGGCAAGTACGCAGCAAAAACCCAGGCCCGAATCACGCAACGTATGACGAGTATGGAGGACCCCAGCTCCCCCTCTTCTTTACTCGCCAATTCGCCATATTCGTAGATTTCGTAGATTTTGTAGATTTCCGTAGACTCTGCAATCGCCCCTTCAAACCTCTTGCTTACTTGCGCAGCCGTCGCCGCTCTGCGATGCTCAGCTCCCCTGCACCACCATACCACCCCAACTTACCTGTTTTCATGCTTCAAGAGGTACACCAAAGCCACGTAGTCGTCATTTCCACCATCATGATCCAAGTACACAGGCCGTGGTGTCCGCAGTGTCGAATGGGGCGAGCATACTGCTGCTGCTGCCATTGACGACATGGACGTTCCACCCGAGGAGAGAGCTCTTGCGACGACGTATCCACGACAAGCACGAACAATCAACATCTACAACCGCTGCTTCACGGTTGTCATGGCCTCTGTTGTGGTGGAGAGAACAAGAAAAAGATTCAAACTGGCAACTTTGGATGTTAGACGGGGGGGGGGGGGGGGGGTCCTTACCCCTACCTGAAAAAACCCCAAATACCGCCAAATACCGCCGGATTTTTTTTTCCCCGCCTGGGCTGGGAGGGTCCGGGCAAAAGAAACCCCAGGAAAATAGGGTCCTCCAAAAAATCCCCGGGATTCCCCCCCCCGCCAAAAACAATATTTTTTTTAGAACCCCCCGGGGGGGTGGGGGTCCTCCAGAAAAAATTTCCACCAACATCTTTTTAAATTACCGAGGAACCCTTTTTCAAATGGCCCCAAAAAAAAACAAAAACCCCCCCTGTTGCCCCTTGGGGGGAAAAACGTTAAATTTCGGTGTT